AAAAAATATTTGTGTCTAAAAGTGATGCTGGATCTTTGCTGCTGCTGGACTTCTCGTAGGAGCCAAGAACTCTCTGGTGAGTGATGCCAGCTCAGGGTCCAGTGCCTTCACCCAAGATTAAGCAAGTGCTTCTAGAGTCTCATGAGAGAGCTAGGGACTTGGATGTCTTAGATTTGGTATGCTTGGATTGGGGTGGAGGCTGAAAAACTTAAAAAAAAAAAAAACCAGAATGACAAACTCCAAAAATGTCAGAATCACAAAGTGTTAAGGCTGGAAAGGTCTCTAGACACCATCTGCTTCATCCCCCACCCCCACCCCCTTCCTGGCTTTTAATGAAGAAAAACTGAGACCCAGGGAGGGGAAAGAATTTGGCCGGGGTCATTTAGCATCAAGGACAGTGGCAAAACGAGGTGAGTCTGCACTTCGCTGACAGTTTCTACACAGTCGGCTTGCTGGGGAGGAATGGTGCAGGGGGCAGGGATGGGGGTGGGAACCTTGGGACAGGCAGACAGAGGTATGTGGGGCCCAGCTGCCTGCTGATAAGAGACCCCCAGAGCCATTCCAGAGGGATGTTTAATCAAGATGTATTTTTCCCTGCTGCAGACACTATTTTCTTTCTTGTGTAGACTGTGCCGGCCTTCGAGATAAGGCGCCTAGATGTGTTCGCACTAAGCCAGCCAAAACATGAGGCAGGAGGCAAAAAATTCCCTTCTCAATCCCCCCCTTACCCACTCCCCCTTGTTTCCTTTCATTCTCTCCACGTTCTCATGCCCCTCCCCCCACCCCCAAGCTGACTAGCCTCTTCCGGCCTTCCAGTAAGTCAGCCCAAAGGAGCCAGGAAGGTATGTGGCCCAACAGAAGTCAAAGGAGACACGTAGTGAGCCCCCTGAAGAAAGGGGCCTGGGCCACAGGCTCCCCGTAACTATAGAAAGCAGGGGATGAAGGGAGGGCGTGCCATTTACAACCTTACCCCCACAGCCTTCCCCTTCATGCTATCCCCTCTGTAAACGGAATGCAGAATATTCTCTGGTTTAATCTGGAGGTGATTAGTGATCTCCTAACCACAGCCTCCACTTCCTGACCCCCACTTCTGCCCTCCTAATCCAAGGCTCCTTGGGGACGTTTTGAGGAGGAGGAGGTTACCCAGCTAGTTCCCATCGAAAACGTCTCAAACATAAGAGCTCCTGCCAGAGACATCTGGGGTCCCGACCCAGCCAATCTCCCTATCACCTGGAATCAGTCCCTTGCCTCTCTAGGCTGCAGTTCCCTCTGCCTACCAAGGAGGTCAGACACAGAGAACCTGGCCTCGAAATCCCTCCCTTGGCTTTTGTGGAAGACAACATTCTATCTTGGGCTTCCTGGGCACCAGCAAGCTGGCTTCGTGGCCCCACCTATCAGTACACCACCCTGCTCTGTCAGGAAGTCACCCCACCCCTCCATACATCTGGATGGAATTTACCCCATTGCTGTGATGTGATCAGGCGAGCTCATGTGTCAGAGGGGGCCCTGGTGTGGGTTGTTCTGCAGGGTGAGGACCCCTGGCTCCTCTCACAGCTCTGGGTCTTTCTTGAGGTTTCTGGGGAGATGAGGCCTGGATAGCGGAGTCCTATTGAACAAGGGACAGAGACACAGTAAAGCTCATTACTTCCTGTACTGGTTCAAATACCCCATCCTGGAACCAGGTAAGGGTGTAAAATCTGGAGAGAGGCAGACATTGATTCATGAATGGTGTCCATGAACCCACTGCAAATGGGACCCTCCTTGTCTCTGTTCACATTCTGAATCCTGCTAGGGGATCATGGTGGCTCAGCTGATGCTTGCAAAGCTGTGACAGTTAGGACTTAAGGATCTTGGGTGATGCCTTAGAAGCCCTGCTTTGGGAAATCAAGGCAACTCCTGCTGGTTTCCTGTGGCTTTTGGCAAGTTGTCTAGTGGAATCTGTGGGCTCTGGAGCTTTCGATTGCTCAGTCACTGCTGGAGACCCTTGTTCTGAGCCCATGGCTCAGTCTGCCTTTTATTGCCTTTCTCCACCTCTACCAACAAACCCAATGGGACCTGAGCTAAGTGTTCGGGGCACAGCGCAGCATGCAAATCAGGTGCTCCATGAAGTTTGACATCACTATCGTGACCTCCTAGTGAGGGACCACCAGGTTGTCAAAGGCAAGATGAACCAGCTTGGATAAGAAACAGCAGGCAATGTTCACTCATACTCACCAGTAGCAGAATCATGCTTGTGAAGATCACGGCCCTCTAGGCATTAGACCACAGGCATGAGTTCCACATGGGCTTCACGAACTGCACTCTGTCTATTGTCCCTGAGGACCTTCCCAAGATCAGTGGAGTGGAGAGCTAAGTTCAGAGTAAAGCCCTGTGCTCAGTTCTGCTGCCTTAGAGACAGAAAAATCCAAGGCCACGCCTTCCTCCCTGAGGGGCTTGCAAGTCAGAGGAGCCAGAAGCAGCTGGCCCTCAAGTCAGTTGATGTATTAGTGAAAAGCAAATGCTGAAACTGGTGGCCGTGCTTGTATACCTGCTCTGAAAGGGACAAGCTGGGGCTGGTTGGCTCACAGCTTAGTCTCTTCCCTGCTTCAAGAAATTGTTAAGAAAGGGACAGTGCTCGAAAAACACTTCCCACAGCGCCAGTCGATGCTCTGCTCATGGCAGGATTATTATTATCGTATGAAATGACTATAATCAAGACAATTGCTCCTCACCTAGGAAATGTCCTAATGCAGAATGCAGCCCAGAACTCACAAGAAGCCTCTTTCTGAACTTCACCAACAGAGTTCTAGTGCCCAGAGCTCATGGACCCCTTTCACCACAAAGCTGTCAACAGAAGTGAGAGGGGACAGTGGAATGGTTGGCTTCCTGGAGACTAAAGGGGCTCCCAACTTAGGGTGGAGGGTCTGAGTGGGGAGAAAGAGAAAACTGAGGTGGGATCTTAAATGCGCTTCCCCCAATACACCCATTTATCTGGGGTGAATGGAGCTGCTGTCTATGCACTGTTGGAGTGTTGGAGTGGAAAGGGTTCTTCAGCAGGCTGACTCTGAGGTGGATGAAGGTTACATCGAGGACCACCCAAGGGCAAAGAGACTCGTTAGGGCTTGTTGGAACCCAGACAGAACTTAATGTCAGGATCTAGGCACAGCATGAAATTCCAGAGAAGGAAACCACCATGTAGGTTTAAGTCCCCTCACATCCTCTGTCATGTGATCTTTGTCACTCAGGGAGATGTTTCTGTCTACTTCACTCATAGGGCAGAGGGGACATGTACTTAGAGCATCTCTTGCAAGTCACTGATGGCAGGAGGAAGCTAAAATGTCAGATCTTTCAGACCTGTGTCCTTCATCACAAACATTTTAGGGGTGCTGCCTAACCACAGGTAGGGTAGGCCCACAACAGACTTTTCTTTAAATGAAGAGATGGTAGTGGTACAGGGATGGTTCTGCAGTCTCAGGACCAGAATTGAGGACAAGCGACATATGAGTGACTGGGTCACAGTAGCCAGGTCTGGAGTCAGGAGTCCCTGGCTAGAAGTCCAGGCTTATACCCACCACCCATGTGCCCCAGGGAAGGAGTGGAGCCCCCAAACCCTAGTGACTACCAACAGAGATGAGCAGTACACTCTACTGCAAAGCACATCCTTGAAAGGTCTCTGTACCAAGTATGCATGACTGCTACAAAGACTTAGAAATGGCTGGAGCCCATGGCAGGGATTCAGGCAACCTAGCACAATTATGTATGTTCCTTGCGGACTCTTAGTGTCATGGCCTATGCTAATTACGCAGATAAAGGGATGAGTAGACAGACGGCTGGCAAGAAGAGACTAAGCTCCAACAGGAATGGAGGGTGACTGAGCACGGTGGCACCCCTGTGTGATGCCATGCAAGGGTTTACCTGAAGGGAACTGAAGGCCTACTCAGTCACACAGTCACGCAGCAAGCACAGGGTCCAGAGGTCTGGCCTGCCACCCACCTTCTCTAAGGTTGGGCCCTCTCTGGGCCCATTTTTCTTCCTGGAGGACAGAAGAAAGCACCTGAGGAGTGGGAGCTGAGCTACCACAGAGGGAGACTTTCTTGCACCTCAAGCCTCCAGGCCTGTTGGGATCTGCCGTCCTGAAGGGGATTTCCTGGGGCGGGCCCTGTTCCTAGCGCTGCTGACGGTGTCCTTGGATAGATGCCCAGAATGGGTGTGTGTGTGTGTGTATGTGTGTGTGTATGTGTGCTCAGAGCAACGTTCCAGTGGGAAAAAGAGGCGGGTACACTCCCAGCCCACACGCTGGCCCTGCCTCCTGGTCCTGGGGTCTCCTCACCTTTATCCTTGAGGTGAGGAATTAGGACAACCCATCTCTTGAAGGAAGCAGAACTGCCCCTTGGCCCAGGATCCTGATGTGTTTGCTGTGTGACCTCAGGCAAGTCCCTGCCTATTTCTGGGCCTTGGCCCCGATGTGTACAGTGAGGAAGGCAGAGGTTTCCAAGTTCTTTTGGAACTTGGATACTTGGGATCTGGCTGGGGGCTGAGGGTCCTGAGAAAGGGGATAGTATGGGACTGGGTTCCAGGGACTCGCCTCCCCCTTTGGAGCTGAAGATGTGGAGGCACAAGGGGAGGCGGTGCAGGGGAAAGGAGCCCCAAGGCCTCAGGTGGCTCCAGGAGGGGGCCAGCCAAGCCCAAGGGCTTGGAAACATGTTTATTCTGAAGTGTCTGGTGTCACTGGGGCCATTTCTCTGAGGTTTGAAATGCTCCAGAAGCCAGCAGGCTGCATGTGTGTGTTTGTTGAGTAGCATGGGCTGTATTTATTCATCCTTTCGCCTGAGCCCTTAAAAATATAGACGGCTAATGTCTTCAGTATGTATGAAATATCCCATATGCTCCGAAACAAAAGGGGCTCTGTTATTAAAGTTTCATTTCCACACGCCCCCTCCCCTCCCTCCTGCCCGCCCCCTGACACCCTGCCCTCCTCCCATCCCGTTCAGCCTGCTAGAGACAGCAGAGAGAGGAGGCAGGCGGGCAGGCGGTGGGCAGCAAGCTGCTGCGGACAGAGGCTGGGCACAGCCGACTTCCTCTCCAGTGTGTGCAGAGTCCAGCGCCAGGTGAGGGGGTGCCAGTGGGAAAGGACTGCAGAGTTTTACAGAGGATAAATGTCCCTGGGATGTCCAGTGGGGAGTGGGAGCTGAGGTGGCCCTTCTTGTGGGCTCCTATGGAGCTGGGGCCCTGGCAGGGTCCCACTGTCTGGGACGGAAATGCCCGCTCTGCTGTTGCTAACTGGAACCACATGTGCCTCCCAGGCAGTGGGGCAAGGACACTGCCTAGCCTGAGGCTTGGGACTGGGGGAGAAAAGATGTAGGTTGGACTGTGGTATGCTCCAGGGTAGGTTAAGGGCTATTCAGGAAGGCTTTGTGTGTGTGTGTGTGTGTGTGTGTGTTTGTGTGTGTGTGTGTGTGTGTGTGTGCACGCGCACGCTCATGTGTGTCTGCTCATGCATGCATGAATGGAAGTGTGCCCATCTCCTTGTAGAAGTGTGTTGACTCACAGAGGGCTCACACAGCTTCTCTCCTGGCCCAGCGGGGGTCTCCACTGCCCACTGCGACTCCTGAAGCCACTTTCAGCCTTCTCTTGCTTGTAGGACCTCTTCCCATTTTCCAGATGAGCTAGCAGAGGACAATGAGGGTAACAGCAGCTGCCTTTCCCCCATCTGTTGTCTGTTCTTCGTGATAGTCCTTCATTAGGAGCTTGGCCTTGTCACCATAACCCTGGAGAGTAGGGAAACCAAGTGTGAGCCTTGAGATGGTTTCTTTATGGCCATCAGGAGGACTGGGGTTTGGCCTGTCCTGACCCAGGCAGAGGGCATGGGTTGACAGGGGTGAGGACTTAGGCTTGGGCAAAGACAGAGAGCCTCCCTGCTCCATTCTTTGGCGAGTAGGATGGTTTCTGAGGGCCACGTAACCCGAGTCCAAGGCCATTTGTCCTTGAAGAATGAGCCTTGTAAGGGAACTAGCTTCCTATTCAGGTGGAGGCTCTGCCAGGCTCTCCTCCACAGGGTCCCGCCCATCACCTGGTCTCCATCTTCTTGCCTCCCAAAGCCCAGAATACATACCATTGACAGCCCATGTCACAGTGCCCTGTGGACTGCCACTTTTCCTCTTAACAAGGAGTGTGTTTTAGTTTTACTTGCGCTGGGAAAAATGTACAAACAGTGTCTCAAAGCTGTGAGGAAATTTACTCTTCTAAAAATGAATGAAAACTGGGGCTCGGTAGAATCTCCATTAGGGCCTGTGCTTTTGGGCAGTGGCTCTTTTTATGCTTCTAGCATTGGAACTGCTCTCAAGAGTGTTGGTTCTCAAGCAGAGTATGTAGCTCAGTTAGTAGACTGCTTGTCAACCTGTATACAGCCCTGGGCTTGATCCTTATTACTGCATAAGCCAGGAGTGGTGGTGTATGCCTGTAGTCCCAGTAGCCAGGAGTTGGAGGTCATCCTCCGATATGTATTATTTGAGGCCAGCATGGGATACATGAGACCCTGTGTTATACATACAAAAACTGTCGTTCTAGCTGTTGAGAAGCAGATGTGATCTGCCGTGGAGACTCTTTTTGGTCCCACAAACAAACAGCTCTGCAATTCCATGAGTTCAGAGCAGAAAGACTAGTTGGTATTCTGAGGAGGGGGGAGTGTTAGGGGCTGCTTGTGAGAGTAAGGGCCAGCAGGGGAGAGGGGAAAAGACCGTCTTGTTCTCAGTGTGGGTTTGGTGTTCAAGGTCAAAGGCCTTGGGAAAAAGAATGTCCCCTGTGTGGCATTTCAAGTACTTCCTCTGGCCTCAGTCTTCCTTTCAATGGCTGATAGGGTGGGGTGGAGCTGTCCAAGGTTACCTTGGCTCCCGCCTTTCCTGCCATTCAGCCCTAGCTCCCAGTCTCTTGGCTGTGATTTCTATGTGGAGCCTGGACTGACCCCAGGTACATGGTGCTGGGGGCACTTCAGGGTTTGTAGGGGGAGACATAGGATCATCCTAGTCTGAGCCGGTGTAAGATGGCACCTTTACTGACATGCCCCTCCTCCATGAGTTCACTGTGGCTGCTATCATAGCTTGGTCATAGCTCATATGTAGAGTTTCACTGGGCACGTTTGGTTCCCACCATTAGCTCTTGGGAAAGCCCTATTCTGTTCTGTAATAGAACAGCAACTTCTGGGGCCATTCTTTCTCGTCTCATCCCGTACCGAGCAGAGGATGCTGACCTTTGGCACACAGCGGTGGAGAACATCCTTGGGTAGGAATGAGTTTATGACCCCTTCTTGAGGAGGCATCAGGTAGAGGAAGGAGCTGAAGGCTGGGTTCATTATAAACCTACCACTGATAAGTGTGTGACTGCGAACAAGCACACTTTCTGTCCTCTAACCCAAGGCACCATTGTCTTTGATTGAACAGAGCACCCTGTGATGAACACTTGAATGTTCTTGCTCCTCTAGGAGTGTGCCTCCCCTGCAGAGTGTGGCTGGCTCCCTCAAGCACATGTAGAGCCGTGCGCATTCTGCAGGCCCAGGTTTCTTTGGGGCTGGTGGTAGCTGTTTCAGACTCTGAGGAAGCATCTGGCTAGGGTCAAGGGCACAGTTCCTGCCTATGGAACTCAACACATCTAACAGGCCTTCAGTGACCCTGTGAGGCTTGCTGAATAGTCAATTTCATGCTCCTCCACTGCCAAGGTCAATTAGACCTGCCCTGGTCTGCTCCTGGGAGTCATGGGGATTAGCCTGACTGAGGCTCCGGTCAGTAGGTAGGACACGGGCTGCAAGACTACAAGATCGGCTTTTCCCCTAAGAAATGTCCCCATTTGGAGAACAGACCTGCTTCTGTTATGGTGGTCAGTGACAGAGGCATAGGATTAGCATTCTCGCTGAGCTCCTCACTGCAGCCATGCCTGGGCTCACCATCTCCGTCAGTTTCCATGAGTTCTTTCTTCTGGGTTTGTTAGAAGTAGAGTGGAAATGGACAAGGGATTGCTGTACCCAAGCTACTAGTGACAATTTAAACCCTAGGCAAGGGGAAACTGAGGGCTGCGTTGGATTAGAAAACAAAAACAAACAAACAAACAGGATAAAGCCAGGCAGCCAGCCTGCAGAAGTCATTCCTGCAGCAGATGTGAGATTCTGGGCTCTGCTTTCTTGATCTGTAAAATAGGTCATCAGAAAGTAACACAATAGCCAGGACAGACTGCCATGTACACTCCACAGCAAGCACTAAGGACATTTAGTTCATAGCTCTGCTGACTCTGTGACAGAGAAAATAACAAGAGACTGAGTGTTGGGACCTGAGGTGTCAAACCAGCACTGATTCTTTCCCAGGGTGGGATCCAGTCCTAACCTGTGGCTCTGTAACTTCAAACAGGTCATTGAACACTGCCGGGTCTCATCTTCTTGTATGAAACAAATGGAGAAACAGGGTCTACCTCGTGGTGGCTATAGGACTCCGTCAGCTCTGTGAGCTCCTGGTACACAGTATGTACTTAGGTGATGGAGGCCAAGAGGCCTTGCCCATCAGGTGAATCCCCTCCTGTAGCTGTCTCCTGCTCTGTCAGGTTATAGCCCACACAATCAGTTGGCTCGATGGCCAGAAGGTTCAGATATCTTGCCCCAGGGTTCATCTTAGCTCTTGGGACAGCTCAGTCCAGACTCACAGGAAGGGTGTGGTCAGTGGTGGGGGAGGGACAGGTGGGGTCACACCTGAAGAATGCTGAGTGGGACACCCTTGGGAAACTGAGGCGTTGAGAGGGAACCAGGTTAAGGTGGACAGGGATGGGAGAAGTGAAGGAAGAACCAGGCGAGCCTATCCCAGGCTGTACTCTTTGAGCTTCCCTGGAAGCAGGAAGGGATTAAAAGAACCAGAAAGCAGAGGGAGACATAGTCAGAGAAAGCCTGGGGCACTAAGCTGGGGTTGTTTGGTCTGACTGAGCAGCCTCCTGGGCTACCCTCACCATGTGCTCATGAGCACACACAGAAAACTATACATTAACAGTCATGTATGCTTCACACACGGAGACAGGCATACAGACACACAGAAGCATATGGACATGCAAACAGATAAACACATACATAACACACACACACACACACACACACACACACACACAGAGAGAGAGAGAGAGAGATCCAGAGGAGCAGTTACATAGAGATATATACACACAAAGACACACAGATATACAAATTCATACAGATGTGCATATATATGCACAAAACACGCACACACACATACAAATACCCCCATGCACATGTGCACATGCACACACACAGTCACACACACACACACACACAGAGAGAGAGAGAGAGAGAGAGAGAGAGAGAGAGAGAGAGAGAGAGAGAGAGAGAGACAGACCCCGCAGGGAATGTCCAAGCTGGACTGCCTGTGCTGGGATCAACCTGTCTCTTCTGGGATCAACCTGCCTCTCCTCTGCCCTCATTGTCACGTATGGAGGCAGGCTCTGTTCTAAACCCCGTCTTACATTACCTAGTTCAGCCCTCACTGCGACTTGTGAGATAGGCACGGCCTTGATTTGCGTATGGAGAAGTCAGGTCTCAGAGAGTAAGCTGCCTGCTGGAGGTAGCAGTTTGTTTTAGTAGCGATTCCAGAGCAGACCACCAGAGTGCAGAGCTTTGGCTGTCAGCTCTCCAACTTGTCTGAGCCGCTAAGGCTTAGGCACTGGGGCTCAGCCCTGCACTTCCATCAAGGCCAGGCCTGGGGCAGCAGCAAGAGGAATCGGTTCCTTTTCAGGCTCAGGCGGGGAGTGCCATGCTCATGTCACAGAGTGGAAGAAACAGGCTGGGTCTCTAAGTGTTTCTAGCTCAGGCTTTGATGATGAACAGAAGCAGCGACAGGCAGGATCACCATGTTCCTCATCCTTGAGCACCTTATTACCCCCTTTTCCTCAGCTCATCCCACCCTGAGGCTATACCTCTCTCTCCCACCCACCCAGCCACTGCCCCAGCCACATGTCCCAAGCTTCCTTCATAACAGCTTCGGGCAGCTATTTGTGTTTCCCTTCTTTTATTTTATGTCAGCCTGCATGGATGATGGGGGAGGAGACCATTATCTTTTTAAAATAGGTTTTGGCTTTCCCCTGGTTGTAAGAGTGCATACAAGTGTGGGTGGGTGCAAATTCGATATCTATAGTTTGTTTATTGGGCTCAGAGTGGCCACTGTGTAGGTATGGAATGTAGGCCGTGTGGTATAAACAGGTTACAGTGAGGTCTTTGTAGGCAGGGAGCTGAAGATCTAGCAGCTGTTGAAAGAAAAACACCACCACACTGGTCTCTTTATTAATGTAGGTAGGATGCCTAGGATGGCAAGGCATGGGCTTGCCATGTTCCCTAGGGGTCTGGTTTTCCACTTCTGAGCAGTGATAGAGTGTGCTCAGAGCAGGGAGAGCAGACGGGATGGGAAAGGGTCTGTGTGGTCTTGCAGGTCTGGATGAGGGGTAGCTGCATAAGAAAGCCGGGCATCCTCAGAGGACTGAGATCAGTGGTGGCAGCGGAGGTTTGAGGCACCAGATGAGGGCTTTTAGTTCTATAGGATAAGTGTCCTAGAGATTAAGAATGTGCTGGCTTTGGAGGACACATGTTCTACACCTCAGACATACAGCTGAGGCTGGGTGCCCAGTGGAAAGGGATTCAGAAATCAGAGGGAAAGGCTAGAGAGATGGCTCGGTAGTTTAAAGCACTGGTTCCTCTTCCAGAGGACCTGGGTTCAATTCCCAGCACCCAGATGGCTCACAACCATGTGGCTCTCAACCATCTGTAACTTTAGTGCCAGTGATCTGATATTGTCCTCTTCTGGCTTCTACGGATACCAGCCATGGACTCTGGTTCACAGACATATGTGTAGGCAAAACATCCATACACATAAAAAGAAGTAAGTATGATATAAAAATATATAGGGACTCCATAAATCAGAGAGAGCTTAGCTCTCTCAGGGCCATCCCTCAGGGCCAACACTTGACTCCCAAATTAGTGTTCCACAACACTGCTATTTCTGTACTAAGTGCTAGGGATGACGGTCCCAGGAGAGACTTGGACATGTCCTACCTACTCTGGGCACTGTGTTCTGTACAGTCTCATCTCCAACCCTACCGCACACTTTCTGAGACACAGTTGGGGGAACCACTGGAGAGCATCTATGGGGAGCATCTATCTGGAGCAACCTTCTCACTTAGTGGAAGGATAAACTGAGGCAAACGATGACAGCTTGTCAAGGTATAGCCTACAACTATACCATCCTGAATGCACCTCATCTTGTGATGAAATCAGTAGACTCATAGGAAGTGGTAGATCATGATTCTAGCTCAAATAGGCTTCCATCCCTGGGATCCTATATGTCCCCAACCTGTCCCCAACCTGTTAGGCCAATGACGGACTCAAAATGTTCTTATTAGAAAAGGCTTCCTGGAGGAGCTTACATGGTCTTTACCCTTAATACAACCCATGGCACTTGCTTGGGATATATTCATGTACACTTAGTTAGATGTCATCCATCACAGCAGGTCAAGAGAGCTGTTAACTGCTATACAGAAGGAGGAAATGACAATCTCCTCCTGCCTTGTTCCCTACCAAGCACTTCCCGTTTTCTGAAGTTACCTAGCATGGTCCTCCATTTCCTAGCTCACTGCCTCTCCCTCTGCCCTCCTAATCTCACTGCTCCCAAACCCAGAAGAGTCTCTGCCCGACTCTCAGTCCTTATAGCAAGCTTGCTATACAGTGTGTCTGCAGGAGCACTGTATGTCAGAGCTGGGCATGGTGGAACGTGCCTGTGATCCCAGTACACTGGACATGGAGGCATGAGGATCATTACAAAGCAGCCTCATCTACATAGACAGAACAGCCAGGGACACATAGAAAGATTGTCAAGAGGGAGAGGTGGGGAGGAGAGAGAGAGAGAGAGAAAGAGAGAGAGAGAGAGAGAGAGAGAGAGAGAGAGAGAGAGAGAGAGAGAGAGGTGGGGAGGGAGAGAGAATTAGGTGGTGGCTTATACCTGTAATCAGCACTTAAGAGGTTGGGGCAGTTAGATTTTTGTTAGGCTATCCTGGGCTATATAGTGATTTGAAGGCTAACCTTGGCTATGTATTGAACCCTTGTCTCAAAGAAAAAGAAAAAGGAAAAGAAAGAAAAAAATAGAACAATTTACCTTTCCCCAACCCCAAAGAAACAAACTCCACAGAACGATAAATAGCTGGAAAGCTGACAGGGCTCCAGTGTGAGGACTGGTAACCAGAGCCCTTCCTGAGCGGCGCCCTGTACCTGGCCTGTTACAGAGTGCTCCTCCTGTGTCACCTCATTTCAACCTCACGACAGTGCGCAGGAGGCTCTGTCCTTGGCCCTATTTTACAGGTGGTCAAATTGAGGCTCAGAGGCTCAGCTATACCTCAGATCCCTCAAGTTCAGGCGGCATGCCTTCCCAGACTCAGGCTACGGCTGATCACAGAAGCACATGTGTGATTTAAAAATGTCTGCAGCCTCACTGAAAAGCAAGCAAACAAACAGCAAACAAATACAAATCACTGGCGGGAGAAAGACACCAGTGAAATAATTGTAATAATGTAGTTACTGTCAAACCAGCTAGGGTTATTCTAAGATGGTCTCAGTTTTGTTTTTGTTTGTTTATGTTTGCTTGTTTTGCTATCTTCTAGGGGATGGTCTGTATTCTCTGCTTAGAGCACTTCTCTCTCTGTTGCCACATTCCAACTACTCAGCAGCGTATGTGGCTAGTGATAGCCTATTTGGTTAGTACAGTCGTGTAGTCTATTGCCTTGCAAGGGCTTATGGTGTTATCTCCGGGTCCCAGGAAGACTCCAACAATATTAGATTCTAGCATGATCATTTTTATCATTAGCTGTTGTTTTCCCAAGAAGAGGCTGGGGTTAGGCCACAAGCCTATGGCATAAGCTGATGTCTCTATTTCCAATCTTCTGAGCCTGAAGTTTAATGTCTCCCAGGAGGAACCACTTCTGTGAACCTTTGGCCTTTAGGTTAGGAAGAGGCAGCTTGGAGAGGAGGAGAGGCTTCTGAGAACCCTCTATCTCCCTGGCTGGCCAGCTGGGTACCACATAAAGTGAGGCCTCCTGAGGGTTGATAAGCCTGTGACCCATCTGCTCAGGACATTGTAAGTGGCTGGGTTGCCAAAGAGAAGGCAAAGGAGATTCTGCATCCTAGGTTCCTGTGTGCTTTCAGCTCCGAGGGTTGTAAGCCAACAAATAAAAGTCATTATCTTCACACTCACTTTTTCACAGAACCCCATGAATTATTAAGTGATACGGGGATAAGGGTCTGCAAGTCTCCCCTTCCACCATTGTCTGGGAACAGCTACTGAGTGCCTGCAAAGAGCAGGATTCCAGAGCTCTCTGCACACAGGAATCCCTAGAAAAGATAAAAACTTGTAGATGGCCCAGTCCCACTCATAGACACATATGTCATCCCTCAGGGCCTTGGCCAGGAATTTGGAATATGTGAAA